CCCCCCCCTCTAGGGTCTAACACATTCAACACATAAGTCGTGATCTAAACCATAATAACATCAAAACATACTTGATCTATAAATCATCATATTTGAGAGCAAGAGATCAAACGAAAAGCAATGTTAATTATTCATGCGTTTTATCCACAGGGATCAAAAGTAGTATGCTTAGGATAAAACAAATGAATCTCAATAATATTATTTTTAACACAAAAATCTAGATAAACAATCATACCAAGCTCTTATAGCTTGTTTCAATGCATATTTGCATCACAAAAAAATATATATATGCATGATAGCTATGTGGGCAACCATAAAACACTGTCCACATACAACAATATTCCCCAGCGGAGTCGTCATCTTTTGTTTGTGGAAAATTTGCAGTAAAAAGACAATGAAGGAAAATTTGATTTGTATTCCTTTAATCTCAGTTACAATTGGATTTCCTGATTACAAAAGAGAAGAGAATGATCGGGATTCTCTCCTTTGTTTAATTCTGGGTTCTTCACGGTGGCGATGAGATGCCTCCCTCGAATGCTCGCGTCGAGTTTGCTTCTCGTTGACGATCCGATGTCTTGTTTCACTGGAATGTGGTCTTCTCCTCACGATTTGACGTTGTGGAGAACTAAGCTGCGTTTGGCAGCAGATGGCAGCTGCGTTTGGCAGCGCTTGGAGCTGTGTTGAGCAGCAGATGGCAGCTGCGTTGAGCAGCAGATGGCAGCTGCGTTTGGCAGCGCTTGGAGCTGTGTTGAGCAGCAGATGGCAGCTGTGTTGAGCAGCAGATGGCAGCTGCGTTTGGCAGCGCTTGGAGCTGTGTTGAGCAGCAGATGGCAGCTGTGTTGAGCAGCAGATGGCAGCTGCGTTTGGCAGCGCTTGGAGCTGTGTTGAGCAGCAGATGGCAGCTGCGTTGAGCAGCAGATGGCAGCTGCGTTTGGCAGCGCTTGGAGCTGTGTTGAGCAGCAGATGGCAGCTGCGTTGAGCAGCAGATGGCAGCTGCGTTTGGCAGCGCTTGGAGCTGTGTTGAGCAGCAGATGGCAGCTGCGTTGAGCAGCGGATGGCAGCTGCGTTTGGCAGCGCTTGGAGCTGCGTTGAGCTGCGTTTGGTAGCTTGGAAGCTGCGTTTGGTAGCAGATGGCAGCTGCGTTTGAGCTGCGTTTGCAGCTTTTGGAGCTATGTTTGCGCTGCGTTCGTGGCTATGAACATGGTGCGTCTTGATGCTGGTGTGCGGGGAGGACTTCCGCAGTTTGATTTGAAGAGACCGTCGATTTGTAGTCTCTTTCTGTCGAAGCGTTGCAAAGATCGTCATTTTGTAATCTTTGCTTTAGCTCTCTGATATGTGAGAGTCGTCAGATTGTAACTCCCGATGTTGATTATGAAGGCTGTTTGATTAGAGCTTCCATCAGTTGTCGTGAAGGTCGTCAGATTGTAACCTTTAGCGATCTACGTGAAAGTCTTCAAATTATAGCCATCTGGAAGTCGTCAGATTGTAACTTCCATCATCGGTGTTTTGATGGGGATCAGCTATCTATTGTGATTTTTAGACAGCCTACAGACTTCTATTAGTGTAAATAGGCCATTCCTTTAAGCATTCTAACGTCCTCATCCATACCATTGGAAAACAGTGTTTACTGCAAAACGATCAGTCCTTTTATGTGTGGTTTATGACTGGCTGCTTTCTAAAGGCTAGCATATCAACTTGCTGTAAGTTAGTTATTTTAACTAAAACTCCGTGGTGTTTTAATTACACTTGTTGGAGAAATATCAATGGCTTAACTCACATTGTTATGATTAATAATCATATTTTGTCCCTTAAAAATGTGGTGTAATCATAAAATTTAAGTTTATGACTAGACTTAATTTAACCTATTAGTAAGTGTTAACTTAGCTCTCATGATGTTATTATATCCTTTTAAATACTACTCTAAACTATCTCTTCCCCTTCTATGCAGGTTGTAGCACGGTTTAATGAAGTTGTGACAAATTTGTTATTGGAAGGAGCTTTGGAGACTTTTAGACGATATTCAGTTAGAGAAGAAGACATTACAGTATGTAAAACATTTTTGATTTTATTCTTCAATATTTATTGACCTTTGTTAATCAGTAGCAGAAATGTCTTTCAAATGCTCTCGCTCCCTCTATTTTGCTAAGCGGTTGTGTTGATGTACGCATGATCACATGTGCCGGTGGCTGTATATGCATGTTTCTATCATGCCACGTTGTTATGGAAGTTCCACATTAACAAAAATGATGATGCTAATAGGGCGGAAAAAAAGCCTTTGTGCTAAATTGTTTGCCTACAGGAATCCTTAAATCCTTTATTGCAGACCATCTGATCTTTTGGTGGTGCAATCAATTAAAGTCTCTACATTTTCCAATTATTTAAACTAGGCTATGGTTATGGAGAAATGAAGCTGATATTCTTATGGTCCTCATGACGTCACTCACAAGAGCATATATATGTGTCATACATTTTTTTACTGCTTGATTTGCTCTTCGTATCTATTTAGTCAGCTCTTTCTGTATTAAAAAGATCTACCAGGCCCAGTTTTGAGTTTCTACATGCTGTTACTAGGTTGATACGCTACAAGACTGATGTAGTGTATAATAGTAAAATAATCTAAACTACCACTTACCAATTCTTTGATGACTTTTTGGTACTTTATGAACCATAAATCTATACAAGCTCTCCATCTTTTTAATTTTTCTTGTCATGTTATTAGAAATTATTTATATATTGATATTGTACATGCGATTCGCTCTTGTGGTATTTCAGGTTGTAAATGCTATTAGAATGATTGTGTTGCTTTGAATATCCTATTGTGTTGTGCCCTTCTCTTTTAATTCACAGGCAACACAAGTTGTTAGTTGCTAAATTTCATACATCTTTTCTGTTCTGTAAGTTATAGTGCTACTGTTAGAAAAGGAAAAAGTAAATCAAAAGGAACCATTTTTCTAACAAGTAACAGCTTTAAATTTTCCAGGTAGTCAAAGTACCTGGTAGCTTTGAGATACCAGTGGTTGCACAAAAGCTTGGAAAGTCAGGAAACTTCCATGCAATAATATGCATTGGAGCTGTGGTAACTTCTTTCTCTTTCAATTTAAATTTTACTGTGACTATATAGCCTATCCTCAATCATATCTGTCATTTTCTGTAGTTCTGAAAATATTAGTATGAAAGTTATGTTCTACATAGCTACTGTAATAAGAAACTGATTTTTTGTGTGGTTAGTTGGTAGTGTTATGGCTAATTTCAATCATCAGAATTTGAACTCAGCATCTTTGGTTGAAGTCGTTCAAGGACATTGCAAATTCTTAGTCAAATCTCAGGAAAGTTAACATATTGGATTTTTTTTTCCTTCAGTCCTATCAGGTTAACATGTTGATCCATTCCGCCATCTAAACTAGTATATTTTTCTGTGTCATGCTTAGTCCCTTTTTGGCTATTATGTACTTTTTACTATATCTTTTTAAAGTTCTGTAATTTGCAAACTGCCTTTTCCCCTCCCACATTTTCTCAGTGCCTAGTGTATCCTGTGAGATCCCCAGCCTAGAGCACTTTTTCTATGCCAGATAACCGTCCTATGATTCTAAGATCTACTTCCAAATGCTTCTGATTATTGAGCCCACAAAATACTTGAATATACAAGTATATACTAGCCTCTTGCCAATTTTATGAAGGTTGCTGTGTCTCACAATTATGGACTCATGGATTTTTGAGACCCGTGTCCTATGTCCACATGTCACAGTCTATGTCAAAATGTTGAGTTTGTAGTTTAGGATAATTTTGACTTTCTTTGAGATTGAGTTATATCTGGCCTTGAAATCATTTGCACAATTGAATTCTTGCATGTTCACCCCCGTTGTGACTTGCTGCTTATGCCAGATATCATGAGACAATTCATTTGGTGTATGGGACCTTACTCATTCTCTAATTTTCTGGAAACCCTGTATATTGAAGCAAACTTTTTCCCCCTTCAATCTTTTGTTGCAGATAAGAGGTGACACAACCCACTATGATGCAGTAGCCAATTCAGCAGCATCAGGTGTTCTTTCAGCTGCAATAGAATCAGGTCTGTTGGCTTCAATTTATTATCTTGGATTCTCTCTTGCTTATCCATGTATTTTGCAAACTTAGATCCTTTTTTCCGTTTCTTTTCTTTTTCTTTTTTAGGAGCGAGAAGATTATTGAATGTTTAATATAATATTGCAGGAATTCCATGCATTTTTGGTGTTCTAACCTGTGAAAACATGGAGCAGGTAATATACACTATCACCACAAAACTATTTCCCTGCTAAAATATTGTGATGTTAATGGATAAATATTAAAGATAAATGTTGTTTGTTAAATTATTTTTTCTCTTCAGTTACCTTTGTTTGAAGTTGAACTGGTAAGGGGAGAATAATTCTGTTAAACCCCATCATGGAAATAACTGCACCAGCCATAAAGAAATTGCTTCATGCTAGATTACATCCCAACTTGCTATGTTTGTATTTGTCTGACATGTTTTAAACCAAACTATTCCTTTTTTCTCCTCCATTGAAAATCAATTGCTTTTATGACTATTTCCAAACTGAATGGATCTCCAGTTTTAATTCCCACATAAATTTCCCTTGCTACATACCTACCATCCATGATCCATGGGATTCCCCTAAAATTCATAGGCATCCATATGTACTGTCTTTAATGTGATAAGTGATAATAATATGTTCAAGATGAGATCTACTTCTTGGGAGTGTGGATGGTGGATCTTGGGGTCTTTATATTAGTTATATTTCGGTGATCTTTTTTTATCATGGAATGCAAGATTTTTAGAATGCTTGTCATATATCTGCCACTGGTTTGAGGAATGATGAGGACAAATAAGGCAAACCTTGATCATATTTGCACTTAGGTTTGTTCTCTAGTGAGTTTAGTTGATAACCTGTCCAGCTGGTTGACTGTCAACTCACCTGCTCATTCACCAGCATTTGGGAGCTTGGGCACTACTTTGATTCATAAAATCATTAACGCTTTATGCTAAAGGCATCAACATCTTTATTTATTCTATCATTGTGACATGTAGTAGTGGTTAAAGGAACATTATGACTCAGGTTATACAAAAGATTTCTCAAGATCATAGTTGCATGGAATCTGGTTTTGCAAGAGTCAAATTTAAAAAAAATATGCCAGTTGATACCAGTAGTGGTAAAAGAACCATGAAAATCATGTTGCAATTAAGGTATGCATACTTTATTTGCTTAATTTCTCATGTTTTTTTGCTGTTTATTCGTTGAAAAAAGAGTTATTTTTGCTTCAAAATTTTAACTGGTTTGAATTCTAAATCGGGTTGCTGGAGTTGGTGAATCAGGTCGTGTTCCACGCGAATCTGGGACGATTGAACCCGGGGCGCTGTTTGCTATAGCATCCCATGTTCCCGACTTCTATGCTCAAGATAGATAAATCTTTATTTAGTAGAATATATCTGCCATGTTTGATACATATGGATAAATTATAAATTTCTAGGGTACATGATTGGAGTCTTTGGTAACTACCAAGTATCAGAAAGTTTGAGCATTTGTATATATGTACAGAATTTGGGTTCCTCTCCTTGATTTAAGTATATTTCTAGCATAGATTGTCAAGAAGCATAACATTATCTTCCAAATATTACCGTCTTATTCGCATGGGTTACTTATTCACATGGTTTAGAAGTATAAATCTACTGTTTCATTTTCGGGAGAGAACTAGTATATTGTAGTAAATTGTCTTTTTTAAACCTAATTATATTGCTATAGTCTTATCGCAAAACTTGAATTCCTCACTAATATGCAGGCTTTGAACCGTGCTGGTGGCAAAGCTGGGAACAAGGGTGCAGAGGCTGCGTTAACAGCAGTAAGTTTGTGACTCATCCAGCAAATTCAGGTTTAACTCTGGATTTCTTTCTTTTCCTCTTAATATCAGCATAATTCTGTCTTTCTCCATGTAGATTGAGATGGCATCACTGTTTGAACACCATCTGAAGTGATGCCCTGCTGAAACTGGCAGCAAATTCGATGGAAATTTGATCGCCTTTGAGGCTTCTTTTTGACCACGCAGAGCTGATATGCTAATTTTGAGGTGATCGGCTGCCTAATGTTCTGACCTTTTCCAGCGGTTTTTGCGTAATGAGCTTTTTGGTAGTTTGTTATGTAGCATTTGGCTCTCTATTTGAAGTTGGAATTGAGTTAGTGATGTCATATTGATGTTAATAAGCGAAACTGCAAAACTTAGAATGTTGGTGAAGGAATAATAAGCGTATATTAATGAAATCGTGTTCAATTGGTTCTTTGTTGTGCTGGTATAACTTGTGAAACCCAGCTTCATGACGAGGAAATTAAAACCATGGCTCATTCGATCAGCCCACAACTAGCATTTTCGTGTTAAGAGTTATACCAAGGCTACAGCTCTTCCATTTTTCTTCATTTTGGTCATGTCAATAAAAACCATACGAATATCTGAATCATCGACCAGTATGGATGTATCATTTACGATTCTTATAGAAATAATGTCTTATATCATTAAAACAATTAATTACACATACGATAATGCATGCGTTTGCTCTGATATAATTTGAAGGGAAAAATGTGTCCAGGCCCCAAAAACAGAAACTTCATGTGCTGCAGCCCCTCCTACTTTCCCCCATGTGATTCAGCCCCTTGAAGTGTGACGTTTTGTGCTGCAGCCCCTTTTTAACAATTATTGCATGCCAACTAAGCTAAAATCCCCAAAACAACCTTATCCCCTCTCCTCAATCCTTCAAACCCAGTTCTCTCTCTCTCTCTCTCTCTCTCTCTCTCTCTTTAAAAACAAGGGTTTTCTTAAGCTCGTCGCTCTGGCCCTCGCCCTCCTCGCCGTCGCCACCTCCGCCCAGGCTCCCAAGCCTCCCCAGAGTTTGTCGCCGTCTCCCCTCCTCTCCTCCACCCGACCTCTTCGCGGTAGCTCGCCGTCGCTCCCTATCTCGCTCTCGACTACGCCGGAGTTCGTCGTTGTGCCTGCCACTTTTGAACCCATAGTATGATAGGCCGGAGGAGGATGACCAAGAGAAAAGAGTGCATGATGCCCAAGAAAAGTGAAAATGAAGGGGACAGAATAGAACTAACATTGTGCAGATTAGAACTAACACTGTAGACAGAATAGAACTAACATTGTAGACAGAATAGAACTAACATTGTAGACAGAATAGAACTAACATTGTAGACAGAATAGAACTAACATTGTAGACAGAATAGAACTAACATTGTAGACAGAATAGAACTAACATTGTAGACAGAATAGAACTAACATTGTAGACAGAATAGAACTAACATTGTAGACAGAATAGAACTAACATTGTAGACAGAATAGAACTAACATTGTAGACAGAATAGAACTAACATTGTAGACAGAATAGAACTAACATTGTAGACAGAATAGAACTAACATTGTAGACAGAATAGAACTAACATTGTAGACAGAATAGAACTAACATTGTAGACAGAATAGAACTGTAGACAAAATAGAACTAACATTATAGACAGAATAGAACTAACATTGTGCAGATTAGAACTAACACTGTAGACAGAATAGAACTAACATTGTAGACAGAATAGAACTAACATTGTAGACAGAATAGAACTAACATTGTAGACAGAATAGAACTAACATTGTAGACAGAATAGAACTAACATTGTAGACAGAATAGAACTAACATTGTAGACAGAATAGAACTAACATTGTAGACAGAATAGAACTAACATTGTAGACAGAATAGAACTGTAGACAGAATAGAACTGTAGACAGAATAGAACTGTAGACAGAATAGAACTGTAGACAGAATAGAACTGTAGACAGAATAGAACTGTAGACAGAATAGAACTAACATTATAGACAGAATAGAACTAACATTGTTTCTGTCTACAATGTTAGTTCTATTCTGTCTACAATGTTAGTTCTATTCTGTCTACAATGTTAGTTCTATTCTGTCTACAATGTTAGTTCTATTCTGTCTACAATGTTAGTTCTATTCTGTCTACAATGTTAGTTCTATTCTGTCTACAATGTTAGTTCTATTCTGTCTACAATGTTAGTTCTATTCTGTCTACAGTTCTATTCTGTCTACAGTTCTATTCTGTCTACAATGTTAGTTCTATTCTGTCTACAATGTTAGTTCTATTCTGTCTACAATGTTAGTTCTATTCTGTCTACAATGTTAGTTCTATTCTGTCTACAATGTTAGTTCTATTCTGTCTACAATGTTAGTTCTATTCTGTCTACAATGTTAGTTCTATTCTGTCTACAATGTTAGTTCTATTCTGTCTACAATGTTAGTTCTATTCTGTCTACAATGTTAGTTCTATTCTGTCTACAATGTTAGTTCTATTCTGTCTACAATGTTAGTTCTATTCTGTCTACAATGTTAGTTCTATTCTGTCTACAATGTTAGTTCTATTCTGTCTACAATGTTAGTTCTATTCTGTCTACAATGTTAGTTCTATTCTGTCTACAATGTTAGTTCTATTCTGTCTACAATGTTAGTTCTATTCTGTCTACAGTGTTAGTTCTAATCTGCACAATGTTAGTTCTATTCTGTCCCCTTCATTTTCACTTTTCTTGGGCATCATGCACTCTTTTCTCTTGGTCATCCTCCTCCGGCCTATCATACTATGGGTTCAAAAGTGGCAGGCGCAACGACGAACTCCGGCGTAGTCGAGAGCGAGATAGGGAGCGACGGCGAGCTACCGCGAAGAGGTCGGGTGGAGGAGAGGAGGGGAGACGGCGACAAACTCTGGGGAGGCTTGGGAGCCTGGGCGGAGGTGGCGACGGCGAGGAGGGCGAGGGCCAGAGCGACGAGCTTAAGAAAACCCTTGTTTTTAAAGAGAGAGAGAGAGAGAGAGAGAGAGAGAGAGAACTGGGTTTGAAGGATTGAGGAGAGGGGATAAGGTTGTTTTGGGGATTTTAGCTTAGTTGGCATGCAATAATTGTTAAAAAGGGGCTGCAGCACAAAACGTCACACTTCAAGGGGCTGAATCACATGGGGGAAAGTAGGAGGGGCTGCAGCACATGAAGTTTCTGTTTTTGGGGCCTGGACACATTTTTCCCTAATTTGAATTTACCAAGTTTCTTTTGTTGAAAGTGGTTCACAGGGCATTACAGAAAAGGGGGAAAAAACGTTTTCTCAGATTAATGTATTGGGAAATACTAATACAAGCCTATTGGTTAGAATAAATTTCACAATCCCCCTGAACTTTCATAAAACCCCACTATGTTTTTGCGGGTTTCCATAAAACTCCAATGAACTTTTGAAAAGTTTCTCAAAATCTATGCATAAGTTTCTTGTGAATTTCAAAGTTCAAAGGGCTTGTGTGCAACTCATCCCAAATTCGAAGAACGCCCAATTTCGTCATTTCACAACAAAAAGCTAATGAAGAATTCGAAAAGCCAGTCCAAAAATCGATGCTACTTTCCAATTCCCCATTACCTCATCAGCAATCCTTCAAACATTTGGCGGGCAAAAATTTCAAACCCACTCCCAAAAATTCCCACCCTCTCTCCTTAATGACCACCAAATCAAAATCAAAATCCAAGAAAACCCTAACCCCAAACCCAACAGAATGCACAAACCCAATCCCCGACATCGAGGATTTCTCCCCGTCAGAAACCCTAAAAATCCGATCTTCACTCCTCCGGTGGTACGACGAGAACCACCGAAAGCTCCCGTGGAGAAAAGAAACCAATCATGGTGACGACGATGAGGGGAGAGCTTACGCTGTTTGGGTCTCCGAGGTGATGCTGCAGCAAACTAGGGTTCAGACTGTGATCGGGTATTTCGATCGCTGGATGGAGAGATGGCCGACCGTGCAGCACTTGGCTGCTGCGGATTTGGAGGAGGTGAACGAGATGTGGGCTGGACTGGGGTACTATCGACGAGCTCGATTCTTGTTAGAGGTATGTGATGGTTAAAATTCAGAATTATTGTGAGGGAATTTTTAAAAAAGGACTTTTAATAAACCTTTATTAGCAAAATTGACATTTTGTGGATTTAATTAGCAAAATTGACCTCTTTGATTGATTTTGCAAAATATAGTTTTTAAAATACATGGGACCAAGGTTTTAGATATGGTTTATTGGGGATGTACTGAACGGTCAAAATCCTTATTTTGGATAGCAGATATCGGGAATATATTGGGGATAAGTAGTATTTATCAGAGTGTCATTCGAAGGGTGTGCGTGTATAATATAATGTCCTAAAATATAATCTTGAATAACATACAAGCAAATAACAAAAAATAACAAGGTAAACTAACCAATTGTAGAAACTTAATGAAATATAAACATACCAACTGTAAATGCACATGTTTAAGATCACTATCCAATTGTAAATATACATGTTTAAGATCACTGATAGTTCCAATAATTTTTACCGCTAAACTCGGCTGATTTATCGACTTATTGCCGCTTTATCACTGATAATTACTCCAAAACGATAACCGATTAAAATTTAAACTTGTCGTAGTGGAAGGGCCTCAAAACTGATAAATTACCGATAATATTGACTTATCGGCCGATATTTAAAACCTTGCATGAGACTACTAGTCCCGTGTAATTAGTGTTGGCTAATCACATGCTAATTAAACTTTAAAAAATATACGAGACTAATTAAACTTTATTATGGTGTAATTAGGCACCACTAAATACACTGGACTAGTAGTGTAGTGTATTCTGAAGCTTCATTTTTACAAAATCGACATCTTTTTGGCCAGTTGGCTAGAAAAAGGTTGATTTTGCTGATTATAGTAAAAAATAGGTTGATTTTGCTAATAAAGTTTCAAAAAGGGTCTTTTTTTAAAAATTCTCTTATTGTGAGCTACTACAGATTTTGTAGGAAATATTATAATTTTTCAGGAAAACTATTCAGGAACTAAAAACCTTGGACTTACTATATATGCTTTACAAAACTATCGTGTTCTTTTCCAGATATTATGGTAAAATTAACTATGATTTTATGATGGCATGTGCCATGTGGTATTTTCTTCTTGATTTAAAAGTGTATGGTAATCTTCTCTAATAAAAGTAATATTGTAGACCCGTTTTGTGCAAAACCCATAATCGTTAATGCAAGTTTGATGCATATTACCCAAAATAATTATCAAATAGTTTGATAGTTATTCGCTGAAAGTATTTGCTCAAATTTGGTTCAAAACATTATTTAAGAAAAGTCAGCCTTTGGTGTATGAATCAAATATGACTGTTCGCATTTGTGATTCATGTGCTTATCGACTTGTCATTTGTACATTTAATCTCTTATAAATTATGCTTGTAGATATGTATAAAATAGTTCGTGTTTTGAACTTTTTTACATTTCCAGATCTATATTCTGACTTATTTTAACTGATTTAGAATCCTAATATATAGTTTTTAAACAAACATTCAACTTATGGTTTTATACATCAAAATCATAATTACAATTATAATGTCAAAATCAAATTCTTTAATCAAATAAGTTTAAATTCATAAGCTAGAATATTGAAACCAATGAATATAGTCACCTTAATACTTTATCCTATGTGATTCATTTTCATTATGAGTTATGCTAGCAGGGAGCAAAGGCTGTTGTGGAAGGAGGGAACTTCCCTCGAACAGCTGCAGCTCTTCGTGGGGTTCGAGGGATAGGGGAGTATACTGCAGGGGCTATTGCTTCTATTGCTTTTAATGAGGTGGATGAGTTTGTTTCTAACTTGATGGATTTTTATTTTTCTTTGTTGGTGTTTGACTGTTTAGGTTTTGTATTGATCTTTGTTTGGTTTTAGGCAGTGCCTGTTGTTGATGGGAATGTGATAAGGGTGATCACTAGGCTTAAAGCAATATCAGCCAACCCAAAAGAAACTGCAACTATGAAGAGCATATGGTAAGCACAAACAAACAAACCAGTAATCTTCTGATAAAGAGGGGGAAAAAAGAACCACCGTAATCTTCATCCTTGTTTATTTACTTATTTTGGTTTTTAAAGACAAGGTTGTGTAGTGTGTAACAACTCAAGTTTATGATTTGACAGAAAGTAAAGGGTTTTAAATGCTTTAATGGTTTATTTGTTCAGTTTAATGGTTGATATAGATTATTATGAAACAAGTCATAAATGAAAGCTTTCCTGTAATTTATCCCTCACAGACATTAGAGCATCTTGTACTTGGCGCTTTCACCATTGTATTATGCAATTCTTCTCATCACCTTGCTCACAAACTAAGAAGCACAGGGGTGAACATAACAGAAGTCTTAATATAAATCTATGAGATTTAGCAACATAAAAGAAGTGCCATATGATACATGGACATGGATTCATGCTATTTCTTCCCCTATTTTAACCACATTTCCATTTTGGCTTGAGATCTCTCAACTGATGTAGTTTAACAATGCCATAGATGGTATAGTCAGTCACGGCTATCAGTCTTTTCTGCTACAAAACGCATACACCATACAGCTGTCTGGCATCCACAGAACTCAATCTTAGTCACACTCTTGGCCAATACTTGGCGCACTTTTCACAATTATGTTACACCCCCGATTACTTGCTTGTATAATATCGCTGGTCATAAGTGAAGCTTTATTATCACTATGTGTATCGCCATGAAATACTCCAATCTATAGGGGGATCATCGGCCAATTACGTCTTACCTCGCTCCATGGGGCAAACTCCGTATTCTCGAAGATAAGATTCGCTGAAGAGACGGAATACACTGGTTCCTAAGCAGTCGCCAGCGGTGCTTACCCTTCAGATAAATACAATTCCGAATTGGCGGACTCCCTTCATCACACGCAATGATCCCGCTTAGTAACGTTCGTTACGCAGTGTTTTCGAAAAGTCACCTTAGAATGCCACTTCCGCCTCCAAAGAATCCAAACTGAAGATAAGTTTGAAGAATTTTTCTACTTCAGTGAGGAATCAAAATCTTCATCTCCTTCAAGACCTGGAGATTTCAACCAGGCCATCATGGAACTGGGAGCAACTTTGTGCTCTGCAACTAGCCCTAATTGCTCTTCCTGCCCAATTTCTGATCAGTGTCGTGCACTTTCAATCTCAAGTAAGTGCAAAAAAGTTAAGGTTACAGATTACCCCACAAAGGTTTTGAAGGCGAAGCAAAGGAAGGACTTTGCTGCTGTTTGTGTTGTTGAGATAGCAGATAGCTTGAACTCGAAGAATAGGTATCTTTTAGTTAAGAGACCAGATGAAGGATTGCTTGCTGGTCTTTGGGAGTTCCCATCAATTTTAATTGAGGAAGAGAAAACCGATATGGGAACCAGGAGGGGAACAATGGATAAGTATCTTAAGAAGTCATTTGGTATTGACGTTGGAAAAAACTGTGATTTGACGCAAAGGGAGGATGTTGGAGAGTATCTCCATATTTTCACTCACATTCGACTCCGTTTGTATGTGGAGGTGCTGATTCTGAATCTGAAAGGTTTGAGCCTGTTACTATCAATTTTTTTAAATTCCATGAGCATTTAAATCTGCAATTTTACTTACGTAATCCCCTTGTTTATATCTCAAGGAGGGTTGAATTTTTTTGACGACAAGTATCAAAGTAAAATAACATGGAAGTGTGTGGACGAGGATTCCATCATGAGCCTGGGATTAACCTCAAGTGTACGAAAGGTGAAGTCATCCGTTATTTTCTTAGAATACTTCGTAGATGCTGCATTTCCTTGACATTCTAGTCAGTAAAGTGATTTCGGTATATGTTTGTGTTTGGTTGCTTATCTTACACAAGATTTCTGGTAACTTTATTTCTGTACTCTCCATTTTTGAGGTGATCATATTACCCTTCTCAGTGGAAATCTATCATTGATGCAGGTTTATGATATGACAAAAGAATTTAAGCAGAAAAAGATCTCTCAGCAGCCTAAAACTATATCAAGGAAGAGAACCAAGAGATCAACTTAAGTCTTCTGCATCATTCTTGTTTGCCTATATTGCTTGTACCAGGGTTTTATACTTTATATTTAATTAGTGCGTGCTGTAATTGGCCTTTTTGAATTGTCCCAGTATAGAGTGGAGGTTGGTCCTTAAGTTGCGACCTAAACAAGTATCAAGCGTATGTATTTGTTGCTTGGAAAAGGCGGGGAGGTTACTTTTGTTGGAAAAGAAATAGGGTTTTGCCTTTTCTGGTTATTTTTCATCTAGTCATGCTCCTTTTTTGAGGTGGTAACTATATTGCAATCTACTGATATTCTCTTTCGTTTCCCTATGAAGAGGAAAAAGAAAATAATTGTTCGACTCAAACATTCCTAGAGTTCTATTTGTCAAGAAAAATTAATGACTAAAAATATAGGACCAACAGGGGGACATGTGAGGTGTTCCAATTCTATTGCATAATGAGCTGATCATTATTAATGATGGCCAACTCATTATGCAATAGGAGAGGGATACCTCATCTGTCTCCTATGTCGGTCTCATATTTTGGGTCCCTATAGCAAAGCTCATTTGTTAATTACCTTATATCTTCATGTTTCTTTATGGTGCCCTAAAACTTTAGGTCTAGAAATATGTTTCATCGACAAGTACATCGCAAAAGTTATTGCTTGTCATAACAATCGCAATTTCCATCCTATCACCTATACACTAACATTTCGTCGAACTCATCAGAGTGGACGTGGAGCATTTTCAGTTTGAAGTGAAACTTAAATGATAAGAGACAAGGAAATTTCCGGTCCATACTAATTAAATCGGTTACTAATGGCTTAGTGATGTTTGATGCCATTTCTTCTTTTGAAATATGGACTTTTAGTATGATTATAGGTAAATAAAGAAAATAATCAGCCTTACGTCGATGTGATTTGAGCATGCAGTAGTGACATTGTTGAAGTGGGCTTGTTCCATTGATCAATGTTTGAGGTTGTCTGGTCACATTATAAGCAAATACGACTGGACTTGGAGTTTAAAAAACAGAGCACGTAGCAACACTTAAACAGTCCATAATCCCAAAAACAAAAAAAAAAAAAAAAAAAAAAAAAAAAAAAAAAAAAAAAAAAAAAAAAAAAAAAAAAAAAAAAAAAACAAAAAAAAAAGAGAGAGAGAGAGAAAGAACTACATCGCCGTGAGGAAATCTCTAATTATTCCCTTTATTCGCACCCCCTCAAATTCGTCGCTCACGCTTCAATTGTCCCATTCCCCCGCTTACCCGCCCACC